AAGCTGACTTATTTTAAAAATAGTGTCAGTAAATGTCAGATTTCAAAGCCACCTCTCACAGCACATGTCAATTGAAAATGGAACTCCTCAGGGGGGGGTTCTTAGTCCAGCCCTGTTTAATACCCTCATGTCCAACATACTCGACATTCACCTGCCAGAGGGATGCAAGATCATCTCTTATGCAGACGACTTGGCAATCATAGCCTCTAGCAATCACTGCCTTACTAGAGCTCAGCGTTGTCTGAACCTGGTGTCTGGAGAGTGTTGTAGGACGGTCTAAAATATCAGCAGCAAAATCCAAAGCAATGGCTCTGAGAACTAATGTCAGAAACAAAAACTCACTATACAGGGTATGGATCTAAAATGGGAAGGAATATCTATACCTTGGTGTATGGATAGGACACACTCACTTTCAAAAAGGAGATCCAATACCTGCTTGACAGAACCAAGGAAAGACTGTCAGTCATGAAAGTCATGACAGGGAGACACATAGGAGTAGGACACAAAGTACTAAGATTATTCTATGTACATGCTGTCCGCCCTATTATTGACTATGCATCTGTCGCCCTCATTGCTTCCAGTACAACATTAAAAGAATGACTGGAAACAATACAAAACGAAGCAGCCAGGATAATTCTAGGTGCACCTAAGTGGACAAAGGTAATCAACCTCCTCATGGAAGCTGATTTACCGTCCATGGACACCAGAATTGATATAATGGCAGCACAGTTCCTTTCCAAGGTCCTGCAGGCACCCACAAACTCCTATCTAAGACAAAGAGTTCTCAGACGCCTACAACAAGATTACCAGTTGTTTGCGGACAATTCCTGGCTCACACATACAGCCAGAGTTTGGATACGCTTTCAGCTAAAAGATTCATTGCTTGCCAAGGGTATGGACTCCCCTCACCCTGATTACAAAGAACCCCCGCCGTGGGCAAACGAAATGATCGAATTCTCAATTCTAAATCTCACAATGAGAAAAGATCAATATTCCATGCCTAGCCTAAAGGCACAAGCACAAAGGGTCATTGATCAAATAAATCCTCCGGGTAGTATAACATACTACACGGACGGATCCGTGGATCCAATAAACCATACTGCAGGCGCCGGCTTTGCAACAAAGGATACCACAGCATCCATTAGGGTCACTGACAATGCCTCAACGCTTCAGGCTGAAACGGTTGCGATCATGGAAGCACTGACACACGCGTCCCTGAGGGGAGGACACGTCATTCACACAGATTCAAGAGCAACTATTGACAGCTTACAGCATAGCATGCCTCCAGATAACATCTACCTCTTGACAACAGTGCTAAACATAGCCCAAAGAATCCTCAGTCAAGGTAGAAGAATCATCATAAACTGGGTCAACAAGCCACATCGGCAGGGGTATGCCCCCATCCTCCATGATCGTTAAACCCAGCCGAAGGGGACTAAGCCAAGGTACCAAAGCTGCAGCGTGTGCGGTCCTCCGGGGAGCACATAGAGAAAACATCACAAAATCGCTCGCTGCCAAGTGGTACTCAGATGCTTCAGGCTATGAGCCACTGGCCCTTCCTCCAAACACTAAAAGAGGTACCGAAGTCATACTATTCAGACTAAGACTAGGTTACCAATGCGCTTGGCAAATTATTGACAATGAGACTGCCAGGTTATGCAAACACTGTGGCGAGCCTAACGCCACCCTGTTACATTACTTGCAGAATTCTGTACACACAGGGACCACCCACCACAGCCGCTGGGCTGGTAAAAAGGGTCTGCAACATGCTTACCCCGTGGCAGCTTGATCGCTTGCTTGCAATTCAGCCACCGCGATAAGCATGCAGTTCAAAGAAAACATCTGAGTTAACTAAAAATAGCTAACAGAAAAGGTCCGGGCGAAGCATGACTTCGAAGCATGACTTCGCAAATCTAACTGAACTGAACTGAGCCACGTCTTCGATCACTCATCTATGGCAATCCAATGCTGGTGGGTGCATTAGCTCTCTAGTTAGTAATTGTGGTGGGTGATGAGGTGTCGAGGGGAGCTAATTTGTCCATCGGTCTATCGTGCAGTTTGTTGTTGCTACAAGCTTTTTAAACACGGTGAATAGCTATGTGACCTAACTCACGCCGGAAATAACACCTGTTATTGGATCAATACCTTGATCTCTGCCAGCAGCTGTGTACACGTTTGTTTGTTTGTCATTGCTTTTGAGAAGAGAGATGGGGGGTGGGTCACCCTCAATATGCCTACTTTCTGTTATGCAGGTCTGGTATGCAGGGAGGTTCAAAATGTCCATACTGTGTTTTGGTGAAGGGGTATGTGGGGAAGGTGGGAGGGGTGAATCACCTGTAACTCCTGCAGGTAGGTGCGTTTGTTTGTCTGCTTCTTCTTCCTGCAGGAAGGGGGGAGGGGGTGGAACCTGTGACACCTACTATAAGATTGATACATTGGCCTATGTCAGCAGGGTGCATATTTGTTTGTTCTGCCTTTCATTCTCAATATTATTATTATTGTTTTTGGAGAGAAGGTATTTTTTGGGTGTGCGTATTCTCCCTCATTAGTCACGGTTATTGATTTTCAGTAATCGATTATGATGATTAATTTCGGGTCATTAGGCCTGCTTCCTGTTATGACACGTTAGGGGGTAGCTATAGTGGTGAGCCAATCTGCCCAGGGTGTGTTTGGGTGAAGAGGTGTGGGGTGGTGGAGATCCTGTGACACCTGGTCTTAGATAGTTTGACCTATGTCAGGTACGTACGTCACAGGGTAAGAGGGTACCATGGGGTGAGTCATTTTGTCCATGATGTTTCTGGATGAGGGGGTGGGGGTGGTGGAACCTGTGACGCCTGCTCTTAAGATGATAGTTTGACCTGTGTCAACAGGATCCATGTTTGTTTGTTGTTCTTCTTCATCTTCTTCTTCCTCTTCCTCTTCTTCTTCTTCCTCTTCCTCTTCTTCTTCTTCCTGTGACACCTGCTCTTAGGTCTTCTTCATCTTCTTCTTCCTCTTTATCATATTCTCATTATTATTAGTAGTAGTAGTAGTATTAGTATTGTTTTGGAGAGGAAAGGGAGGGGGCACCCTTCAGGTGTGCGTGTTCTCCATCATTAGTCACGGTTATTGATTTCCCGTAATCGATTACGGTAATTACTTCTGGAAGTCATTAGGGCACTTCCTGTTATGACACGTTAGGTACATAGGGGGGTACCTATGGGGGTGAGGCTGGATTGTCCTACTACCAGCAACTTATATATATATATATATATATATATATATATATATATATATATATATATATATATATATATATATATATATATGTATGTATGTATGTATGTGTGTGTGTGTGTGTGTGTGTGTGTGTGTGTGTTGTGTGTGTGTGTGTGTGTATGTATGTGTGTGTGTAGAAAAACCCAC